TTGGTACCTGTCGATTCACGATGTGTTCATTGCACTCAAATTTTTTTAAAAATAAATCAATATAAGAAAATAAATAAATATACAGGATGATAGAGAATTTCAAGCTCTATCAGAATACATAATTACTTTTCTCAAAATATGGTACTATAGTGATAAAAAATTTAAGAAACTAATTTTGACGACAGTGACAAATCAAGTTTATGGGAATCTGAACATGAGGGTGCTTTCATTGTTCTCAATTTATTTTGATAATGAATAGATCGAAACTAAAACCTAATTATACAGAGTGATAGAAAACTCCACGAGCTTTCAGAACATGTAATTACTTTTAAAAAAGTGTGGTCTTATAGTGGAAATATATTCGAAATACCGAGTCTAACTATTTTTGTCCAGGGGGATATATGAACAGTACCAGAAGGAAACGGGGTAATTCTTTTTTTTTTCTTTTCTATGAACTCAATTAATTTCTTTTCTAGTGTAACAACACGGCCATCATTCAACATCAATTAAGTAATGTATTTTTTTTCTTCTCACTTGAGTTCAGTTAGGAGTGGGGTTAGGTAGGTCCTTAGAGTTGAGTAAGAATGAGAAAGCCTCAGACCGCTAGAAGTGGGTGGATGAGTTATCCCTTGTGAGGCCCGTTTTCTCCTATCAGCAAACCCGTGACATCTGTGACACACGACCGAGGCGGACAGCTCCCGTTAACATATCTCGGTGACGAGGTATGAGATGATACGGGACTGTTCCCGTGCGTGCATGAGTTTTTACTGCTCGTTACAGCTCTATCAGAGTGTTTCCTGATCGCCCGCGCTCGCGTGAATAGGATAGAAAAAAAAAACAATTCAATCAATCGTGTTTATTTAAGAGAAAGTGGGGAACAATGTCAATGAGTTCACTGAATATCGAAGCGTTGGACACGACGATTATCGGAATCGGCGACATAGAGATTGCCGTGTCGATCGAATGACAAACCGTAGGGCGCACTCAGTTGGTTTGATTGTTCTCCTCCACCATTTCCACCAATGATGACATTTCCCTGTGTGGCTCCTTGAGGCCAACGCATGATTCGAGCATTGTCAGAGTCAACCACATAGACAGTGCCCAATTGATCGACAACGACTCCTTCAGGCCAGAACAACTGTGTGAGACTCTCTCCTATTCCATGATCACCAGCCACGACAATGCCTTGTGTTGCACCTTTCATCCATTTCATCACACGATGATTTCCACCATCAGAGACATACACCGAATGATCCTGATCGACGAATACGTAATTTGGGTGATAGAGTTGATCGAGACGATTTCCACGTCCATTGCCACCTGCAATCACTGTTCCTTCACATTCTTTTCTTCTATATCGTCTCACTTCATGTTTTTCGCAGTCAACGACATAGAGAGATCCAGTCTCGTCTATTGTCAAACCCCAACAATCGATGTTGGAGATGATGGTTTCTCCACTTGTCCCATTTCGACGAGGCCATCGAACCACTGTTGCCTTACAATGGTCGCAGATGGTGAGACTGTCTCTCTCTTTGTCGACAGTCACATCGACTGGTTCCCAGAATTGATTCGCCCCACTTCCTTCTCCATTTCCACTGGCAACGACTTGGCCACTCGTCTCACCCGATTTCCATTCCACAATACGATGATTGTCACTATCAGCGACATAGACCGTTTGCTCATCATCAACATACAAACCGTATGGGCGTGAGAGTTGATTGCTTCCATCACCATATCCATTTCCTCCAGCAACGGTGACACCCTTTTGTTGCCACCGAGCATTCGGAGGTATGTCGATGGCACTGGCACGTAATGGTACAACTGAAATAATAAAAAGAAAAAGAACAGATAAAATAAGCATAAGCATAAGATAAAAGAAAAGATGGTACGAAACTATGAGATATGGTTATTGCTTCTACTTAATTATATCATAGATGTCATAATACCATTATACTGGGTATTGAGAAGTAAATGTCTGGATACCCTACAGAGTAATCAACTAAAAGTGAATTCATTTACACGATAAAACTTACGCATAGGGTTAATGACTTCCTTACTCCATAAATGAACTACATATCCTAAAGTTGAGGAATTTGAGTGAATCTAGGGTAACGACCTCGTTACCCCAAATTCACTCAAATTCCTCAACTTTAGAATATGTAGTTACAGTTTAGAGGTCACTACCCTCTAGACTAATACCCGAAATTCACTCAAATTCCTCAACTGTATAACATATAGCTATGGTGTAAATGTCGTTACCATTGGGTAATACCCGAAATTGACCCATATTCCCCAAGTTTTGATGTCTAGTTATAGCTTTGGATACCGAATTGGATACGCTTGAAGGTATCGTGTCGTATATGAAAATGGATATATCTGTGTTCAATACCCGAAGACTACATTGAAAGCAAATGCGGATACCGGGTGTAACGGGATTATGACACCACTCAATTATATAATAGAAAATGAACTTTTCAACTACTTGATATCATAATTCGAAAAAGTAAATGATGAAAATTATAAGAATAGATTTATTGTTTAAGAAGATATATATATATCGTTCATATTCATATATATGAAGCAGAGGAGGGTGTGGGTCTATTTCTCTCATTGTTCATGGAAAGGAATGGAAAAATCAGAAAATTTGTCTTTGATTATTTCAAAAGTTAATCAAAAATTAAATCTATTTTCTGGAAAAATTTGGAAGTTTTTGTTTTTCTCATATTCATTAAAATTAACATTAACATTATAAGTCGCAAAAAGGGTATCTATTCATTCTTAAGAATTTCAACTGAAAAATAAAAATTGTGCATACTATGATGTTTAGTTTGTTTTGAGATCGCCCTTCTCTTTTTATTTCTCTCTTAAAACAAAAGAGAACATATGAGATCAACTCAAACATTTCATCTCTGAGATTCACATGAGTATATTGCAATGCATAAATCACTCAATACCATTAAAAAGAACTCAATTCGAACTTTCATAAAATCAACATCATTCTCAAATTATTTTCACTCACCTCTACAGTTCCCTTGATTACTGTCTCTATGTCTTCTTCATGTACACTACTATCAGAATTGAGTAATCATATATATAGTATATCAATCACACTCTTACTTTCGTACTCCAAAAAAAAAACAACAACTGATGTCAACTAAACAACAGAGTTGTCAAATCTCCTATAATTTTCGAACTTTTCTTTTAAGAACAAAAACAAAAATCTGCTTGAATTCAGAAACAACGATTTTGAGGACTTGTCTCCTGATTTCTAATTCTGTTTTTTGTGTACTCAAAAAGTGAGTACACTCTAGAATCGGTCAGTGTGTCCGTCCGGCCGTTTACACGATAACTTTTGAAAGAAGAGTCAGATCGCGATGAAATTTTCTACACAGTTTAGTCTCAACAATATCTCGGTCCCGT